CAAGAAAATAATCATGTTAGTCATCTGCAAACAAATCAGATATACAGTTCTCACATTTGGAGCACAAGAATTAAGAATAAAAAAATGCACATTCTTACAGACAACATAATTTCTGCACCAGGATTTCCACTGTACACTTACCGTAGGTTAATAGATAATTCATGTGCATTACATGTAGTTAGCAAACCATTTTGCAACACTATAATAAATCTAGAATCCCCCAACACCAAATCTGAATGTCAGAATAATTTGTATTGATCAAAAAGATTTCCTGAACTTCCTCAGGGCACAGTAAGGGTTTTCTAGGGAAACAGGCCTTGGTAAATATCTGAAGTTTGACCTTTAGACCTTCTTTTAACATCTCCATCATGTACCTCTGTGCCAGTGGGCCTTGCTAAGCAAAAAAGCAACAGAAGGGAAACTCCTCAGGGGCTTGATTCTGAAGAATGCTGAGCACCCTAAACCTCCCAAGATTTCAATGAGACTCAAGAGTATTCAGAACCTCTCAGGACTGAGCTCTAAGAAAACAGACTTCTTGGAATGCTGTGCTAAACACATTTCAGACACCAAAATAATCAATATGTGACTGTAATTTCTTTTGACAGGGATCTCGTGACAATGCTGACTTCCTTCACACTTCTTCAATTATGTCATTTACCGAGTCAAGCAACCCTACTACTTCTCTACCCTGACTGGCTCCTACAATCTCAGTCACCTATTTGCTGAGTGGTTCCTTCCTCCATTCCTCTCCCCTACCTCTTTGCTGTAGAAAATGTTGCTGACTTTTCCAAAGAAAAATGCAAAGATTGGTGTGCTCTTCCTACTCGCCTTCCCTTTCCCTCCTACCACTTTCTCCTCCTTTCCCAATCACGGATGCAGAGGACCATCATCTTTTCACTTTCTCTAACTTCTCCACCTATCCTACCTACCCCATTTCATTTTGTCTCCTAATCTCCTTCCTCAAACTCATCCCTCCATCTTGCCAAGTCTTCTTGCCATCAAAATTCAAGCATGATTTGAGGTACATCTACACTAGAAATGAATGGTGATGTACGTTGGGTCGATTTACAATCACCGCAGTAATTGCTGTGGCGGTTCACATCTTCATTACCCTTCTTCTCTTTGCGAGGCATGTCCTCATCAGGAACACGTCCAATGACGTAAGAGGGGGCAGTGTGTGTGTGTGTGTGTGGAGGGGGGGGGGGGGGGGGGGGGGACGTGAGAACCTAGGCTCTCAGGTCCACATGATGATCCCTCTGTTTCCTCCAAGCTCTTCGCCCACCAATGCCAGCAACAGGAAGCTTCTGGGCAGCAGCCTTGCTGAGAGTGAGAAACCAGGTAGCAGCTTGGCTGGGAGTGGAGAGCCAGGGGGATCAGCCAGACTCTGCGAAGGGTGGCGTGCAGCCCAACTGGGGGCAGGGAGCCTGGGAGCCCCACTTGCCCCCGTAATAGCCCAGCTTGCTTGTCAATTTCACAGTACCAGCCCAGAGTCATGACACTGACAAGAATGACAGCCAACAGCAGATGTAAGTAATATAGCGTCTGTATGGAGATAAGCCAACATAAGCCCAGCACTTCTCCTTGTGGTGGAGTCAGCATAGTAAGGCTCTTACATTGCCAGAAGGCTGTACTGCGTTCACTAATGTAGTTAGGTCAAGGTAAGCTACCTTCCCATAATCTAACTGTGTAGTGTAAACCAAACTCCAGTCTCTTCCAACCTAAAAAAATCCAACTCTTGTTCCCTCCTGGATCTCCCTCTCATCTTGAATTTCATTGAACATGCTGTCTATAATAGTCATCTAAAATTTTATCAAGACAATTCTACCCTAGATTATCCTGCACCCCTGCGCTCTAGCGCTCAAAAAATCTAACATCTTCCCAGCCTAAATCCAGGAAAAGCACTCTATTTGCACTCTCTACTTTACAGTGTCATCTGGAGATGGTCCTGCTCACTCTCCCCTCCATCTGTGTGGGGATCTCAGAGGGCTCCATCCCTGGTCTCTTCTTCCACTACATCAGGGGTGGGCAAGATACATCTCGTAGGCTGCATCCATCCCACCAAGCCATTGGATCCAGCCCGTGTGCTCCCTGCCAAGACCCTCAGGCACTCTGCAGCCACTGTTTTAAGCACAGGGCTGCTCCATGTGCCTCTCTGCTCTGGAGAGAGAGGGGGTGGCTTTGTGTGATTACTCCAACGCCCAGCGCAATCCTGAGCTCCTATTGGCCAGAAACAACTGGACAATAGGAACTGGCCCCAGGCCAATCTCTCAGCTCCTATTGGCTGGAAACAACCAGCCAATAGGAGCTGAGAGATTGGCTCTGGCCCAGGACAAGTCTTCCCCCTCCTGGAGCAAAGAACCAATGGAAGGTGCAGCCTGCATTTTCAAGTGGCAGGAGAGCCCATTCTGCCATAGAGGCTAAGCGTCTCCCAGCCAAAGCCTGCCTCTGCCTCCACTACCCCTCCTGCACCAAACTCCCTCCCCCAGGCCACCATCCAAAACCTCTGCAACCCCTGCCCCAGGTCCCAACTACCTCCCAGACCCTGTACCTCCTCCTAAAACCCTCTCCTGCACCCATACCCTCTCCCTGATCCAAGTCACAACCCCCTCTTTCATCCAAACTCCCTCTCAGACCTCACTATCTCCTGCACCCCAGTCTCTTACCCCATTCACCATTCTGCACCCAACCTCCACCCTAAATCCTGCAACTCCTCCACAGAAAAGAGTGACCCCATACCATTTTCCAAAATCTTGGAGTGCCCCTCCCCCCGCCATCTAAAATTATTGCTCAATGCTGCTCTACATATTATCTCTGGCCAATCTCATTGGCAAACACAAATTCAGCTTTCAATAGTAAATTTAACTCTCCACTCTGGATCTCTCTCTGCCTATCCCAACTAAAAATATCCTGCTGTCAGTTTAAAGTAATCATGACTAAAATGGAGTTCTGAATCTTTCCTCCATAAGCCCTTCCCTGTATTTCCTCTCTATCACTGTGGATGTAATCAAATTCCCAGTCACTCAGACCTACAATCTAGGTGTGTCTCAAATCAGCCCTTTAAGTTCTTCACATTCAGGCACTGAATCATATCACATTGTGCCACATAATATCTTGAAGATCCAGCCTTTCTTCCATCCACACAGCTGAACTCCATAAACTACATCCACCTTACTCGCCATTTTTCAAAAAGCAGCTCTGCACATTCTCCAATGCTGCTCCAGATGGGTAGGCAGCTGATTTGCTGGTAGGCAGCTGATTTGCTGAGACCACTGTTTCCTTTTTTCTTCTCGGCTTTATTTTATCCACCTGCTGCCTGCAGTCTTACACATCCCAACACAAAGGTTAAACACCTAAGCTTTCTGTGACGAACTGAACAAGGACGAGACAGTTGAATTAACTCCAGCAACAAGCAGTGAGGCACACCCCAATAGTCCTTTCTTAGCTAGCCTAAGCAGCGTTAGTATGAAGATTCCCTTTGCTGGATATAGAAGCTCCGCATATGGCTGTTCCAATCTACCATGGAACTTAATTAGGACAGACGGCTTTTGTACAGATTTTCCATTTTGGGGTGAACTTGAACCTTAAAGACACACTGCAAATGATCTGTGATGCACATATTTAAAAAACAAAATCAGATCTTCACTGAAAACCAGTTGATCTGAGCTAGCTCACCAAAGGCAAAAAGTTATCACAACAATATGACTGGCCGATAAGGCGGGGCGGGGCACTTTTTTTGGCATCAGGGGCCACTGACAGTCAAGAGCAGCACACAAGTGAGAAGCAGGGGAAAAAACCCCTCACTGTGGCCCTGGACTGAGAAAGAGAAAGACACTCCCCACATTCTCCTTGCACACCAGAGCCTGGGGGAAGGGCAGCCTAGTAGATTTTGTGTGCTACAGCCCCCACGAGGGAACCCTGAGCCTTAGGGGCTGGATCCAGGCAAGCCAAGGGCCGCATCTGGCCTCCACCCCTGAAGTTCCCCACAACCCGCTACAAGGGGTTTATGAACAGTTTGTACTAAGAGAAAAATAGGAAGCCAGAAAAAACAAAATCAGCTGTTTCTGTAACCACTTAAATAATTTCCATGAGATTATATACAACTAAAGTAATTGACAAGAACCCATTGAGATAATAAATAGAGCTGCAGGTTAGTTTAGGCTTACTAACTTTGAATGCCTCAAATGTGTTTTATTATTATGAAAAAGTCAATAGGACAAGTTAAATTAGGGAAAACTACTACTCATTACATTTTAAGTGAGGCGGTAGACATTTCTATATAGAATTATCCTACATTTGATTAATAGCAAAACTTCAAATGACAGTTTTCAGATCCAGAAAAACAAAGCCTGTGGGGCGGGGGAACATATGAGGGGAGAACGGGGTGACAAACTAAGAACCATGTACAAAAGCTATTGTCAGCACTAGGGATGTTTAAATAGCAGTTAGGAAGCTAATTGAGTAGTCGACAGAACTTCCATCAACCACTCAGTTAGTTGAGTCCTGGCTCCTGCCTGGTCCCAGATGCTGCAGCTTTGCTTTTTAAATGTAAAAGAGACACCAGAACTCAACTGTCCTGGCTTGCGCTGCGTCCCAGATGCTGTACCATTTCCCCCGCTGTGCCTCTGCCTCTCCTGCCCCCCATCCCGCCCAACGAACACAGTGCTGGCTCCTCCCAGCACTGGCTCCTGCTCCCCCGCATTTGCTGCCGCTGATACAGAGGAAACAAGGGGGGGGGGGAACAACTAGTCAAGTAGTGACTCAACTACCAGATAAGCCTAGGTTTATCGGATAGTCAACTATTTGACTAGTCGCCTCCATCCCTAGTCAGCACAAATTTAGGATTCCAGATATATTGTTAGGATAGCAGGACATGACTTTACTCCTTAGCAGCATACACACTATAAGCAGCTCACCAAAAGATTTCTACTTTTTTATAAAAATCTGTCTTCCTCTACAGGGCAATTGAATTGTTTACAAAATTACAGGGGTTCAACGCTTACCTTTTGTAGGCTAGTAGGATTTAGCTGGGTTTTATCTATTATTTTCACAGCCACCTAGGGAAAAAACACGTATAACTAAACTTGCAAAAACCTCTGACATTTTAAAAATGTTCATGTTAGCAGCTATACCCACTGCGTATCTAATGTGCACAGACATAGCTATGAAATGTGTGTACAATTGGCATAATTGCCATTCTATCTTCTACTCTACTCCCTATATTAGAATTTCTTAATAAGAATCCAACTGTGCTTTATCACTTTCCACTGTAGCTTCAGCATCAGTCAGTTTTACACTCCTGCCAGCACTGTGGAAATGTAAGAATACACCGAAACATATGTAGAAACCCAATAACAAGATATTTTCTTTTCCTTCAGGGTGTGCCTGAATTTTTTTTCCTTGGGTGGCAAAGAGGTTGGGAGGGAGGAGGAAAAAGGACAGAAATACATTTTGTCCCTGAAAGTAACAAATAAAAAACCAAACTCTCTAACATCTCACTTACAACTATACAGCCTTTCCCAAAAAGGAAGTTTTCAAATAGAATTTAATTTCTATCTTCTCCACAAGTACTGCTATTGGTTCTATTTTCTTTGCATTATTTTTTGCAATATTAAGTTTTTCAATAATCAAGGATGCCGTTGGAAACAATGTTAGGACCCTTTTTGTAGAAAACTACACATGAAGGCAACACAAAATACTTCAATTAGCCACATTCAAAAAGCTTACTTCTCTTCCAGTAAGAACATGTCTTGCCAGCTTCACTTTGGCAAAGTTTCCTTTTCCTATTGTTTTTAGTAAGCGATAATTTCCAATGTGAGGGTGTTCTTCATTTGTAGATGTAATTGAGTTTCTACATCGGGGGATGTTTTGTCTGCTACTTGATTTGGTGGGCTGGACATGTGGTTCAGTGTACCCATCCACAGAAGTATGCTATAAGGAAACAAACAAAAAAATAGTTTTTAAACTGTTACAAAATATTTTGAGTGCAAAAATCTGAATTCATAATATTTAAAAAGCTATCAATTTTCAACTGTAACTTAAATAGATTTGTTGCCAGTAGGAGAAGTTTGATTCATGCAACAAGAAGGAAATTAGAGAGACACGCAAGAGCTGCTTCCAAAATGTAAGCAAGAACAATATTTGGACGCATCAAAACCATTAAAGCATTCACAGATTTTTCTTCAAATATGAACATGTGCTATTAAAACACAAACTTTAATATAGTATGTGTTCATTATCAAATCTAGATTTAAGCATCTTTGAGCTCTTAAAAAATACAAAAGTACTTTCATCTCTAAACAGTCACCATTATTTTCCCTGAAGATGTGAATAAAAAGTATATTTTCACAAAGTGCAAGAAAGATGCAGTTAATCAGCTGTCTGACAATATTTTCATTAAAACAGTACGTACTAGGGATGTTAAATATTGGTTAATTGAATAATCGATTAACCTCAAATTCTTATTGGTTAGTCGACTATTCTATACTCCTGGGGCATCTCCTATCTGGAGACGAGGGGTCTGAGCTCCTGGAACCGGCATGAGACGGAACTGAGCCGGGCTGCCTGCCTGCCTGCCTCCTAATACACTTTAAATGCAGAGCCACAGCAGGGGTAGGTCCCGGACCCAGTGCAATCCTGGACTGAGATGGGTTGCTGGCCAGCCTGCTAAAAAATTTACTGGCAAGGGGTGGAGAGGAAATGTGTGTAGTCTACAGTATTAGCCTATAAGCTTATGCTTATCAGTTAATCCACTACACTATTACATTCCTAGTACGTATTTGAAATGGAGAATAAAATCTTAAATGCCAACTGTGCTCCAAGAATATTTTTACTTCCATAACTTTTAGATATGTTTATACTTTCAATATAAAAAAACCCTGAAATTATTAACTCCCTAATTTTAATAAAATGGATTTTTCTACCAAAAATAGTCCCACATCTATAAAGTCTATTGCTAGTAAGTCACCAAAACAAAGACATAAAAAGGCTGTGCTAATCACCAGTGTAGGAAGATGAGGGTCAGAAACGTAAGCCCATGTATCACAGGCCAGGTATGAGGCCTTGGTCAAGACTTTGCTAATGTAAAGCAAAGTTAAGCCATGAGAAAGATGCAGCCCCTGCTCATAGAAACTGGCAAGGAGAGGGCTTATATTACAGAAACACTTATACCTAAGCAGTACTACGCACAGGCTGTAAGCACATTCCAGAGGAGTCGTTAAGAAACATCTTGGTACCCACTTCACCCCTCACAAACAACATACATATTGATCCAGGTTCAGGACCGGGCGTGAGTTGACAGCATGATGGATAGTAATGGAAACCCTCTTTCTGTGAGGTAAGGGGCGGTAACTAACTAACTAACAGAGGGTGGGAACTTGACACATCAGGATTGATGTGTAACTTGTTTGTACCTGTGTTTAAAAGTGCATCCCAAAGGGTGGTTGTTGACTGACTGTGGGGGTGATGCTAGAATCCAGGGCGTATATTTGGATGTTAGTCCATTGTCACGGTGTACATATGTATAGTGGCACAGCAGCGAGTGTGTTCGCTGACAGCTATTATTGTATGTCGCTGGCAATAAACTTACTCAGGTGCTTTTGATCCTTATCTGATTAGTGGTCTCTGGGGGCTCTCCCAGAGTCTGTCGTGTTGACTAATTGCACATGGTTAACACGTTAGACAGGGGAGCACACGCATGCATGAAGCTGAAAGTTTATCATCATTGACTAAGTAGAGGACCTGTCTGATGACCCACAGTAGAGTTGTGAAACTGTTACTGGTTAAGTCAGTAGTGTAATCCTACTGTGTCTCCACATCTTAGCGTCCAAAGGGCTAGCTCTGTTTTCTGGTGTTATACATACAACATCACTTGTACAAGTTCGAGTCTCCTTCCTCTCGCCTCAAATCACAACAACCTTTTCCCCCACAAAAAACTTGTAACTTGTGCAGATATAAATGTTTGCATCTGGGCTGAGGGGACCTCTGCTTGAAAATATGGCCGCTTATGCCTTTTGTTGATTATTCCTTTCTTGTGTTATAAGCCAGAGTGCTATCGAGCACCCAACTGACATTTTATATAGCAGTATATATAATGCATAATACCTGTATCATTTTATTTTTTCCCTTTCAAACCGGTCATTGTTAAACTTTTCCTACCTCCTCCTACACACAAACTGTCTAACATCAACAGCAGTTGCACACATATAGTGGAAGACCGTTCTTCCTCTAGTCCAGCGGTTCCCAACCTTTTCCAGATGGGGACCCATTTTGACAATTCAGGAAGACTTGGTGACCCAGGGCAATTCAAAAAATGTGTGAATAGCTCCTTTAGAGCCACCTGGGGAGATACCTGGAGACCCTTTTGAAATGTAATGGCAACCCATATTTGGGTCCTGACCTATAGGTTGGGAAACCCTGCTCTAATCCTTACCTCCACGTTGTAGAGAAGCACCTACTTCCTACAAGAGTATCCAAATTTACATTTGTACATTTAAAAAGTGGACAAAGCTGAATGCAGTGTTTGAGGTAAGGTACATCATTACATTAATTCTATATTCTCTACCCATGGAGTAAGTTTAAGGCAGAATTTAGGCCTGTATTCTGTAAAGCAGTGACTGAAAACGATTACAATCATGGTGGATCACCAACTGGACTTGAGCTCCTATTGTGATAGATGACTAAGAGAGATAACAATATCCTTAGATATGTGTGAGACTGATATGGGACCTTGGAAGCATGGAAATGACAATTACACAGAGATGTGCAAGACAACATGGACCACTGGCTTATTCATAAACTTGTGTGTCTGAAAATGTTATATGTTTGCATTTGTGAGCTAGGGGATTCTATTTTAGCTCCACGGGGGATGCGCCCTCCTGAGCCAAAGTCAGTGGAAATGGTAAACAACTGCAGAGAAGTGCCACCTTCTAGGCAAAATTGCAAATACTAGATTAGATCAGGTTCAAGAGGCTCACGCAACAAAGAAAAGGCTTTTGGTATAAAAGGTCAGTGCAAACAGATACAGAATGATCCAGAAACAGATGTGAAATTGTAACCAAATGGACAAAACCCTGCCAAAAGGATCTGAGGGGATCCCTATATGCAGACCCGCTCGCCAGCCGTGCTGTCCAGTGATCTGCGCATGCGCAGATTGTTCTGCACATGCACAGATCGACCGAACCCGGTTCTTCCAGGTTACAATCTACTTGCCATGGGCGAGTAGACTGTATTATTTGTCGAGCCCTGCCTATATGGAAGATGAGTGACACTTGATAAATGGAACAGGAATGAAGACTATTTATTGTTTATTATGTTTTCTCTGTAACTATTTTGTCCTCAAAATGTACTACGTTTTGTGAAAGCGGTCTGGTCACCAGTAAATTGGGTCACTTGCCTCGAGAGACCATTAGCTGCAGATGCTGAACTAAGGTCAGCCCTGCAAGGAGAGTCAGAACTGAAGGAGGACTCTAAGACTATGTCACTCAGGGTGCGTCTACACTGCAGGTCTTAACTCAAAATAAGTTATGCAAATTGTGCTACATCAGTTGCGTAGCTTATTTCAAAATAGCTGATTTCAAAATCACAGCACTTATTTCAAAATAGAGCACTTTTCTCTGACTTCTCTTATTCCTCGTACAATGAGGGTTACAGGAGTCGGATTAAGAAATCCTCCAGTATTTTGACACTATTTCGAAATAACTGCCTGCTGTGTAGACGTGGACTAAGTTATTTCAGAATAGTGCTCTGATCTCCAGATAAATCTTTATTCTTTCTTAACCACTACTTTTAGTTTTACCTAAGCGCTACAAGTACTCTGTGGTTTAAACTGAAAAAGTGGGGTACATTGCACCACTGGGTGAGGAGGACTTGGAAATTCTGTGAGTAGCCAGCGTCAGGGGCTACATATAGGGGAATGATTCACATGTGCTTGGGAAATGGAGAGCACTTACTGGCACAGTGCAGGGAGAGTACCTAAGTGGTTGGTGGCACCCAGCTAATACAAGAAAAACTCTTGCTAATACAGAAGGAGAACAGAGTGACTCAGATTTTGGGGAACCGAAGAACCATCATGCTTACTCTTCCTACTTTATGTAAAGAACCATGGTCACACAGTCTAACATGACCAGGACATTCTGTGCATGAATGAAGGGCAGAATTATTTTGCAAGCTCTGTGAACTGCAGTTTGAAGAGACTGATGCACATCTAGGCTCATGTTAGGACCGTGAGTCTTGATCCACATGACAGTCTAGGTGTGCTCCAACCCACTAAGGAGACAGCCCTGTGTTGCCAGGCTTCTTTGCTTTGCTTCTTCATGGGTGGGTAGGTAGGTGGTAGAATGAAGGGTACCCCTACACACATGGTGTTTTTTGGTTCTTCCACCAGGTGTATGAAGGAAACTGAGAAGAATCAAGACTCATTTGTCCAATTTGTGTCTGCTCAGAGCACTCCTACTTCAGTTCTATTGCCCATGCTGCCTTAGTACATATGTAACAGAAGCTGTAATGCCATGGGGAGCCTTTCAAGCATTGATGCCAAAGCCAGCATGCCATCATTTAATCTGTAATTAACAGGAACAGTTGAGCCAAGTAATTTACCAATCAGAATTTGACATGTGTCTAGTTTCTCTTACACCCCAGAATCATTATTTCTAACAGAAGTGAATGCATGTAAATTAGCTGTACAGAGATGATTTGCTAATTTCTTTCCTATGTCACAGTAACTCCACTCGTGATTTACTAAGCTGTTGATCTGTGCCTTGCAGAAGATCTAATCAGAGCAAATAAGAATTATTAATCACTGATTAATTGCAATCTACTTATTTCAATTATAGCCCATGCTTAAGATTTCCATTTCAATGCTTTGTAAAGTTGAAAGTGTCTGTTAATTCATTCAGATAATTCAGGACAAGGAAAAGCCTGACATGTTCTAA